TGAGTATCACGGCCCTTACTATTCAATTTAGTACGCAATTCCTTAGAATTTAAAGAGGATTTCACATCAACTAAAGAGATTGAGTCTCTCCCATACAACATTGAATTAACAAAATTATCAAACGAATCAGGCAATGAGCATAACACAATCAGGGCTTGATCTTCATCCCCAATTTTAATATCAATATTTTTCAAGTCAATAATAATTTTGTTAAATTCATCAAGATGTTCATTAATGGGTGTACCTTCTTTCATCTTGAGTTTGTACAACCGTTGCTTCAAATACAAGCGGTTGGCGAGAGATTTCTTCATATATAAACTCTCAAACTTTTTTCATAATCCTTCGGCTTTGTCTTCATCGATAACCTCANCCAATGGAATCTAAAGTACCCAAGAAAATCAAATTCTTCTTTAATTCTGGAATATGCCGTACATCTGTCAAAGTCCTCATAACCCCATCATGTGTTTTAATTCGAATAGTACTTATTCCAATAGTCTTGCAAGCAAAATTATTTTTCATCAAGACTGAACCACCATTGACTGACTCATAGGTGGTAAACAATTCCCTATTAGGGCACATATGATAGGAATAACCCGAATCAAGAATCCATTTATCATTAAAACATCTATAAGAGACTGTAAGGATATTATTTGAACTATCAGATGTATCTTCTGCAACACCAACAACACTAAAGGAATTGGAAGGATTTGAATTTTTTTGTCCCCTTTTATTTTTTAACTTAAAACAATCACGCTTATAATGATCAATTTTATGACAATAAAAATATTCAACATTATTCTGTTTCTTCCTAGACTGTGATCGATATCCAACTTTTTCTTTTCCTTTATCTGAATTTCTTTCAATGGATCGACCTCTATTATTATTAGAGGAATTATCATGACGACCCTTCACAAATAAACCCTCGGCTTGAGTATCACTGCCCTTACTATTCAATTTAGTACGCAATTCCTTAGAATTTAAAGAGGATTTCACATCAACTAAAGAGATTGAGTCTCTTCCATACAACATTGAATTAACAAAATTATCAAACGAATCAGGCAATGAGCATAACACAATCAGGGCTTGATCTTCATCCCCAATTTTAATATCAATATTTTTCAAGTCAATAATAATTTTGTTAAATTCATCAAGATGTTCATTAATGGGTGTACCTTCTTTCATCTTGAGTTTGTACAACCGTTGCTTCAGATACAAGCGGTTGGCGAGAGATTTCTTCATATATAAACTCTTAAACTTTTTTCATAATCCTTCGGCTTTGTCTTCATCGATAACCTCACGAAGAACTTCATTAGCAAGAGACAACTGAATTGCACTGTGTACTTTTTTTTCAATATCAACAACCTTAGTTTGATCTATCTCCTTGGATAAAGTTCTATCAATGGCCTTTGCCAAACCCTGCTGACGAAGCAATGCCTTCATCTTGATCTGTCATAAACTGAAATTTTTCTAACCATCAAATTTTTCTATCTCGAATTTTGCAGTAGCCATCCCGAAACCAATAGCTCTGATACCAATTTGTTATAAACAAAACCACAAGCAAAATAATAATGCAACGAAATAGAAAAATAGAACACAAAGATTTACGTGGTTCGACTCAACAAGCAGGCCTACGTCCATGAACGAAACATAACGTTAAAATTTCACTATTGAAAGGTTAGAGATTACAACATTCTCAGAACAAATCAAAAAGAAAACTAGATATCTACTCTATTCTAATAATAAAATATTTATTGGATTTAACAAAATAGAGCAATATCAATTTATCACACACAAAGAAAACTCTTGTACCGTCGTCAATGACCAACCACTAACTTACTAGAGAATACGTCTTTTTTATCTAACTTCTAGACTAAGAAATTTGATTCTTTCACAAAGTCTTTATGCTGAGGAGGTCTCACGTGTAGGACAAAAAAATCAAAGACTCCTTGAAGGCTTTGAGTTTAAACAACAAAAGTCCATGTTGGACTAAATTCCACTAAAATAATAAAACCAAGATAATCCTCATTAAAGTCAAACTTGTCTATCAAGGACTCCAATGTAAACTCATGTCTTCAATTAGAGTCCATATAAAAAACAATTGACTTGAATACAAGTCATCACAACATTATATATAAACTGTGAGATTTATTTTCACACCTCATTAGATGTGGTTGCTATTTACGGGTCATTGTACTCATACAAACATTTAACATTTTTCAAGTGAGGGTCAGGTGAGGAGTAAGTCCACAGAGAGACAAGAAATTAGAGAATTTGAAGATTTATTTTATTGTAGCTTTTCGGGAATAAATGTCTTTTGTAGTTTTGAGATAAATATTTAATTATTTTGGGAATAATGTTGTTTATATTTGGAGTAGTGAACCTTATAGTTTAATTATTATTTTATATGAATTTGGTAATGATGTTGGTGATGTTTAATTTATTCTTCTGGTATTAATTAGGTTGGTGGAATAGATCATTTTATTATTGGTCTTCCACTATATTTTACATTTATTATGCACATGGTTGATTGGTTAAGGCCTTGGTGGCCGATTTGCCGTCCACTCTATGTGATTCGGGGTAAAGGTGTGACAACTTTCATCTTCAAATGTAAGAGGTACTGTATTTTTACCGCTTGCATTAGATATTTAATTATTATTTTTCGCAGAAGTGGACCGACCTCTTACAATATTTCCTATAAACTAATCAGACCATAACTATTTGATTATTATTCAAAGTATGACTTGCACACCCTCTATGTAGCTTATAACAGTTTAATCTGTACACTGATAACTGATCTAAGCATCAGAAGGCCTCTGTTGTAAAACCCGACGCCCCTTAGAGTAATCAAATCGTCGAAAAGGGCTTCGACCGGGTTCCAGGTTCCAACCATCAAAGGTTGCCATAATGTGAATTAGTTAGGCCATTGGACTGTTTATCATACCCACATACTTCATTATTAATGCTGGGAGATGATTATATTTTGAGTTTGCTTCTATCTGGGCAAGACCAAGTTCGGGGAGATTACTCAGATATCATATTTGACTGTAGTTACACTAGCTAGTTTTCATTTATGGACATGTTTATTAAAGACTTCAAAATCTTAATGATCCAATATTTGATGTTTTGTAATCAGAAATAATTTTGGGATTTGATTATATTTAGGGCAAGATTTTTTGTGATCTTTGGTATTTGAATCTAAACGGTCTAGAATCTATTCATGCCAAACTTGTAACAACGATGGGATGGACAAGGGTGCAAGTTGAGAAGGTCGAGAGGTCAATTCGAGCTCAATACTAGTTGATTTTAAAACCCTTCCATGCAATTCTCAGGTGGTTATTTTTTTTTTTTAACTCAGACTAGACTTAGGTTACACGGCTCATTTAAAAATTCAAATTCTATTCTCAAGTTGAAATTTGGATTAAATTCAGGTTCAAATTGAGTTGAAATCGGTTTCAATTCTGATTTTATTGTAAAGTTACATAACTAGCGTTGGAAGTTGAATTTCAAACTGAATTATGTCAAATAATATATGTATATATTTTTGTTCAATGGTCAGGGATGTTCGGTCAACTTATACACAACTTAATTAATTTTTTTTCCAATTTGATTAAAAACAAGTCATCCTCGTTAAGATTAGGGTATTTATAAGAGAAAATAATACTTCAATAACAAGGTTATAAGGTGCTAAAAACTGAAGACCCTGACCCCGATACCATCTGAACTTGAATTTGGAAGGAAGTTTTTTTATCCCAGTTCAGACGAAGTACTCTTTTTTTTTTTTTTTTGAGAGAGGGAGACTTGAACCCTTGACCTTAAGAAGATAAAGTTTTTACAAGATAAGGAATGCCATTAGACCAAAGGCTTGTTGGTTTCTGCCCAAGTATTGAATATTTGAAGTTGGTTTCAGGTTGATCCTTCCTTCCATACTGTGGTACAGCGAATGGATAACTTGGAGATACAGGGGATAATATATATTCCCTGTCACGACCAACATTTTTGATAGTGACCACTTGATAGTCGTTGGTGTTCTTGTTACATTGGTGTTGATGAAGTTTAGAAAAGCCAGTAAGTGTAAAAAGACATCACCAATCAACTTGGCTTTTGAGGGTTATTTTTCTCATCTAGAGTAAAAGAGGAAGGATCTCACAAGCAGGGACCATAAAGAACAAGATCACAATCTATTAAAGTATGGCTATTAATCGACCCGAATTTATAAAGCTTGAGCATTCTTAGATTTAGTAACTGGCTGTTCCGCCAAGCTTAGAGCGGTAGCGCTTGTGAGCATCGAGTCAAACTTGAGCCGATACCAAACTCATCTTGTCAATAAAAAATATACAAAGATTGAATCCTATAATTTATAAAACAGTCCTAAAACAATCAGTTTCTCGACAAAAATTTACTAAAAAACCGTATAATCAACAATGAAATGAAACACTAGAAGTTCATTTGTTCCAAAAATCTATTAGATGACAGATAAAAAAAGATACGTGTATGTGGTCTTAAGCTTATTTAAGAGAAAGTATGAGATTGTTCATCTTTTGGGAAAGTTCTTTAAATGTAAAACTGTAACTATTTATATACAAAAATCTATTGGAGCCGATCTACTGCTTGAATTCGACTTATTTTTAAACAATTTTTAAAGTGAGTTTAAAAATCTGATGAAGTTAATTCACTTTGCAATTTAAGTAACTCAAATCGAGCCAAATTCGAACTACTCACTTTTAACAGCTGGAAAAATGGTCAAAAGAAATTGGATAAAGTTGAAAAGGAAGAGAAATTCGAAATCGGCTTTCTATAAGAATGCCCACTCATGGAAGAAATGATGCTAAAATGAAAGATTCAAAGGACTTTAGTTCTATGGCAGTCCTTTGCTTGCAAGGTCTTCAAATGGCCCCATGCATATGAATTTGCATCAAAACCTTTCTCTAACTATATATATGGTCGCTACCCCTTAAAGAGAGAGAGAGAGAGAGAGAGAGAGAGAGCTCAGTTCTCCCAAACACTTCAAAAAAACATGGATCCTTCAGTAGAAGAAAGTAAGAGAGAGGTCTCTCTAACTTTGTTCTCCCAAACACTTCAAACACCTATGGCTTCATCGACCACTGAGGCTTCCATAGACCAAGTTTTCCCCGGGCATAATCCAGGGAAAAGCCAGATGGCCGAAAGGACTCATTGGGTTCTTAATGCCCCAGTACCGCCCGGTCCCTGGCGTGAGCTTGTGGATTCCATTGGAAAAACTGGGAAAAAGTTTCAAGTTCTCAGGGAGCAGCCTATGTCCAAAAATGTGGCATCAATCTTAAAAGCCATATTTCCAATTCTTGTTTGGGGCAAAGACTACAAAATAACAAAATTTAAGAAGGATTTATTGGCTGGTTTAACTCTTGCAAGCCTCTGCATCCCTCAGGTAAAAAACATTAATATTTAGATTGAAAAAAGAATGTTTTGTTACATATATATTAATTATTATTTTTATTTCATGTAATATACCAATTTACAAAATCTTTCATTATGTTTTATGTAGAGTATTGGATATGCAACTCTTGCTAAGCTTGATCCGCAGTATGGCCTCTGTAAGTTTGTTTTTTGGTCAATTTGACTTATATTATTGTTTCTTATGCTGCATGACTATCTATTTAACATTGTTGAAATTAAATCACACAGACACAAGTGTTGTTCCGCCGCTTATTTACGCGTTAATGGGGAGTTCAAGAGAGATAGCAATCGGTCCAGTGGCCGTGGTTTCGCTGCTCTTGTCGTCGATGATCCAGAAATTGGAAGATCCTGTGGCTAATCCAATTGCTTATAGAAGGATTGTGTTTACTGTGACTTTTTTCGCGGGTATTTTTCAGGCGGCCTTTGGATTGTTGAGGTGATTCTTCTTCTTCTTCTTTATATTGAGCCGATACTTCAGAAGCATTCAGGCCTTTCTCGTTTATGATTTTACAGGTTGGGTTTTCTTGTTGATTTTCTCTCTCATGCTGCCATAGTCGGGTTCATGGCGGGTGCAGCCATTGTTATTGGTCTTCAGCAGCTGAAGGGATTACTGGGGATTACTCACTTCACTAATAAAACTGATATAATCTCTGTGTTAAAAGCTGTTTGGAGATCAATTCCCCATCCTGTAAGTTAATTTTTCTGTGCAACAACTTTCTGTTTATTTATTTATTTTTTGTAACTTCTTGGACATGGCGACAAATTCAAGCAAAAATCGTGACATCATGAGACCGATTAGGCATTCGCTGCGATTCAATGACAATGATGTAGTCGACTTGAATAATTCAATGAAAAGCCTTTGAATCAACCACGAGTCGAATAAGACTCATAATTTGCACACAACTTGAACCATTCTCGAAACTGCTAGAATCAAGTCGAATACGATGTGACCTACTTGGCTAATACTTTGATGTATGTGCCCTTGTGAGCTATGGGTGATGTTAAATATGGCATAATGTTCTTATATATTTCTTTGCTAAATAAGTTCTTCAATCTTCAGGAATAAAAGATCATTATCCAATAAAAGTACTTTTTGTCTAATCAATTGATATCTCTTATGATTGTTCACTACAGTGGAACTATCATAACTTCATCCTTGGGTGTTCATTTCTGAGTTTCATCCTAATTATGAGATTTCTGGTAAGCAACAACCATACTAAACAGTTTTTTCTTTTTACGCTTAGATCAATTCATAGAAGTTCAAAAGTTTTTTCTCTAAATTTCTGAATCAGGGCAGAAGGAACAAGAAACTCTTCTGGTTATCAGCCATTGCACCTCTAATATCTATCGTTTTATCGACTCTCATCGTCTTCCTGACAAGAGCTGATCAACATGGAGTCAAGATCTTAAAGCATATCAAAGGAGGATTGAATCCAAGCTCGGTTCATCAGTTACAGTTTGACAGCCCACATGCCACAGAAGTGGTTAAAAGCGGAATAGTTGTCGCAGTCGTCGCCCTCACGGTGCATTTTCTATCACTTGATCTTACACTTAATTAATAGATCACATTTTCATATATACTAATTGATAGATTTTTCAAATTCAGGAAGCCATTGCAGTCGGTCGATCTTTTGCATCCATTAAAGGGTACCATCTTAATGGTAACCAAGAAATGGTAGCCATGGGCTTCATGAACATTGCAGGATCTTTAACTTCTTCCTATGTTGCAACAGGTAAGCCTATGTTTCAGTTCTTTATTAGACTATAGATTCTTCACTTTCCTTTGTTTATAATCTCACTAATCCACTTTCATTGTATAAAATCCTAGGGTTAATTACAGATTGCCTACTTAAACTATAGTTCTGATTTCACTTTGCCCATCAACTATTGTTTTGAATACACGATATCTTGAAATATCAAATTCGCCATACTTTACGCTAATTGTTAAATTTTGACTGAAATATAAGGACATTCTTGCAAGCTCAAAAGTATGTAAAGCCGCCTATGTTTAGATTTTGTGAATACAACTTGTGATCGAAATATAGGATCGCTTTGTTTGAGGTTCCATTAGTTTATTGTGCTAAAGTGGAAATTAATTATCTTTATTTTTCTTTTTTAAGTACTTTTTGAAATAACATTTGTTTTATCTTGCTTTATTTTTTTTATTTTTATTTTTGTATCCGAATTTGCTTCTTTGCTTCACACTTAACCCACTTGTGTATTATTTAAATACTACTAAAATGTCTATACACTACTTTTGCAAAATAGTAAACCAATTACTGATATATACTTTTTTGATATAATTACTTTCTTGCTTAAATAAGTTTACTTTATTAAAAAAAATCACCAAATAATCGCACAAAAGTCTTCAAGTTACATAGACCCAAGATATATATTCGATTCCATTAGATTAAGACTTCAGACGAGAATATTTTCTTAAACATAAAGTAATATTTGATTACGCTTTTTTAAGTACCTTTTTTGAGTAGATTTTTTTTCTCTTTTTCCGAGCTTAATCACATTCTCCAAAGTAGTACATGAGATACTCATGTATAAGTATATCATTCATATACTAAGATTCATATAAATCCCTTTTACATATTTTCTTAACTAAACTATTTTTATTAAAACAAAATTGATTATATAAATGATCCTATGGTTTCAAAATTGCCATGCAGGTTCATTCTCAAGAACTGCTGTGAATTTCAGTGCTGGGTGTGAGACAGTGGTGTCAAACCTTGTGATGGTCATTACAGTGATCATATCATTGGAACTACTCACAAGGCTTCTATACTACACACCTACTGCCATTCTTGCTTCAATTATTTTATCTGCTCTGCCTGGACTCATTGATCTCAATGAAGCTTACAATATATGGAGGGTTGATAAGTTGGACTTCCTAGCTTGCATTGGTGCTTTTCTTGGGGTGCTGTTTGCTTCTGTGGAGATCGGTTTGATTGTTGCGGTAACATTTCCCCCTCCTATAAGAATACCTTTGCATGCATTTTTTTACATATACGAGAATCAATCAACTCATGTTTGTGTCATATTTGAATTGTATTGTGTCAAGAATTAGTCATTAGAAATCACTTTGCCTACATACTTTGTATAAATGTGTCGATTAAATTGTCTTGTGTCATGTCATATCGCATTCGAAAAGTGTCATGTTCATGCAAAGTACTACACTCCAACCATGGGTACACACACTTAACCTATAAACCAAGAAATAGAAGAGTAGATCCTTTTATCTCTCAATCAAACCCACTCCCAAACCCAGAAGGAATAAAGTTGAACTAAATATTACGACAAAGAGGGAATATAGTTAAATTGGTTCGAGTCAAGTGTCTTTGTCTGTGACAACATTAAGGTGGTGTATAGAAGTAAGAAGTGGTGGATCCTACCTCTTATAAAGTGCACAAAAATGGGGAACACTTTTTTGATGGTGGACTGCTTTTTGGTTCACCCAAAGTGAAGTGAATCAACTTATAATATGGATCTCAAAAGATTGAATTTAGATGGATACAAGTCCAGGTACACAAAAAAAAAGTCGTCAAATTACCAAACTAGTATCATTGCAATAAAAACAATGGTCTCATGGTCTCATCTCAAGAAATATTTCAAAGGTAAGTTATAATTGGTAAGGATAAGAAGGAAGAATAGAATGACATGGAAGGATTGATGATCAGGCAATTATTGGGTGTGGGCATAGAGATTGATGGAAAAAGAATGCTCATTGGCCACCAACTGTCATGTTTTTTATTGTTAGGAGATAGGGTGCCTAATAATATGAGCCACTATATACACATAAAAACTTTCGTCTATAGGTAGTGAGTCTATCTACATTATATTAGAATAATATCACTTCTTTTTCTATCTAATGTGGGATTCCGACACGTGCAATACCCAACACTTATATTACACTTTCAATTATAATTATTAGTGTCACTTTGTCTCAATGATTAACATCTGGTAGAAATTTGATGAAATGTTGTTTCGTTTTGGCTCTTGAACTATGCGATTAATCTCCTCTTTGGTGCAATCAAAGATAAGTCATCAACGTCAGGATTATGGTATTTATGAGAGATAAATCTCTCGTGATCTAACATCAAAGAGCTGTTAAAATTCGAATTTAGAACATCTGAATTTACAATTTTTTCAACGATGAAAAAATGAGTTAGAATTAAACAACACACACCTCGATATTGACTCTTCTACAACCTCCCAATCCGCCCATTTACCACCTCGAGAATACTTTCATAGCAGATTATATGGAAGTAATAAGCTGTAAAGAACATAACTATTTAAAGTAAATAATTTCACTTCATCTAAATAGCTGATTTTCTGATATTCTTTTGAGGCTCAAAGGTGAGATTTTAATAATAACACCAATTACCTTTAGACGTCCTTAAAATTGCCACTGCCTCACATTGTCCCCTCATTTGTTATTTTTCTCTAATGGCACCTCCAAGTAGAGTTATTGGTTTTGCATTGCCACAACTAAAGACGTCCATAACAACTTAGATGAAAATTTGTGTCACTTTTCCCTTAGACTATGTGATTCTATTTTGTTTTACTCCAAAATCTAAGATACTATGATATTTTTTTGCCCAAATCAGATCAGATGTTCAATTTCGGGGTAGTGTAAAATTAATTCAAGTAATTGAAGAGAAACGTATGACCCAGTTCATCAAGGGATGACAATTTTTGACACAACACAAAAAACACGACTCGAAATTGATACGAAATTAACGTGTTAGGATTAGTCATTTATCGACACGAACTTGTATATGACATGACCCATTTATACGAATAATAAATGGATTGAATTAGTGTCAAATACGAACAACACAAAATTGACACGATTAACACGTTTAAGTAATATTATAAGAATAACATGTCAATTTTTTTATTATACTTTATCAAGTAGTGATCTAATTCTTAGACAAAAAAAAAAGATATTTTTTTCTATTTTTATTATTATATTTATTAAATTAATTTTTAGTTTATAGGAAAAGTACGAGTATAAATTCGATTAAATGATAATAAAATTTTAGAAATAAAAATTGAGCAATAAATTTTTTATTCACGAGTTATATAGGTCAATACGAACACGACACGACACGAAATTAAATAACTCGACACGACGTGACACAATTATTTAAACGAGTTGGGTTAAGGTTGATTAGTACTAGACACGAATCCAAAATAACACAACACGAACATGATCCAACACGACACGATTGTCACCCTTGGGTCATAGTGTAAGGATGAAAAGTCTGATTTGACCTAGTGAATATTTTCCATATGGGACATATATATCACATACTGTCCTTGGGATGCAGGTTTCAATATCATTTGCAAAGATTATACTGAGTTCAATTCAGTCAGGCATGGAAACTCTGGGAAGGCTTCCTGGAACTGATATGTTCTGCGATGTCAAACAATATCCTATGGCTCTTAAGACTCCTGGAGTTCTTATAACCCGTGTTAAGTCTTCTTTGCTTTGTTTTGCCAATGCCAATGTTGTTAGAGAAAGGTACTGCACACAAACATATGCATTCTTGAATGAATTCAAGTAGAACTCACTATATATAAATCAATTATGTACTAATATACGGTGTGTGATATACCATTGAAGAGAATTGAGAACAATAATTTTATTTAGACCTAATGTGCTAACCTATTCTTGTGCTATCATTCGATTAAGAGCAGACTCCATCTAATTCTAAAACATATTTCTAAACCAATGACAACAATAAGCCGGGCTAAAAAATTAAAAGTCTAAGTCGGATTACTCAATTTAGAAACGTGTACCGGTGGGGATCAAGATTTCATGAAAAAGAATCTAATCGCTTCTAATATATATTTTGTTAATTTTTCTCTTTGGTATATTACACACCATGTATATAGAGATGGGTTCACACGTGTACAATGCGCCCCACTTGAATTTATAGTATGCGGTCAACTAGGGAAGAAAATAGAAAAAAAATATATTAGAGGAGATCTTGTATAAAAATCTAACTTAATTCGAAGCATGTTTATTGTTTGTTGAAGGATATTGAAGTGGGTAACTGATGAACAAGAGGTGGATGCTAAAGGAAATGTTGAAGGGAGAATTCAACTAGTGGTTATTGACATGTCAAGTAAGTATCCATATTCTGCACAATGTCTTTTTTTCTTTTCTTTGGCTAAGTATATTAAGCACAATGTCAAGGCAAGTTATAAGTTATTTTTTTCTATTTATTTTCTAATAAAAATGCTGACAACAGACTTGATGAACATTGACACCTCTGGAATGGCTTCTTTAGAGGAACTTCATGCCAAACTGGCCTCACTTGGAATTGAGGTAAGACTCTTATATTTGCCTTTTTGGTTGTGCACACAATGCCTCTTTAGGGTTAAACCTATTTTCCTACCCTTTCCTTTATTTAAATAAATATTAATTGAATTTTTTATACACTAATCACCTTAATGTACAATAAGTCAATGACTCATAGTAGATCTTTCTCATCTTTCTCCACTCTTTATCAAAATGGGCCTTAAAAGCACCATAGCTACTTAAGTATTACTCATAAGAGGTAGTGTCGAAAGAGGCTCCCAAGCCGGGACATCTGGCAGAATGCTTAGCCTCCATGTAGGATGGAGGTGGTTTTTTTTGTGTTTTGTTTTCTTGGGTTAGACTTTACTGGAGCCCTAAAATGGCTTTATATTTAGGATTGACAACTGGCTGGACTATGCTGAGTGAGCCCATCAATTAGCGGCCCATGCTTGTCATGGGTCTGTCCATGGGCTGATCAAAGAAAATGGTAGGATCAGCTCAACAAAATAAAGAACAGAAAATTGGAGGCCAGTCCAACATACAGCCTTTTTAAGTATTTAAGTACAAACCGTAAATTTATTTGGCCTTTAGTATACCGTGAGTACCCTTTCTTTTTCTTTTTAAATTCCTGTTTTACCCTTATTCATTGTGTGAAGTTTTTGGATCCTATTGAAACCCTAGGCCATTACCAGAATGCAAAATGGGGGCTTCAAGACTACAATAAGAGAACGTATCAAAACCCCGCCACCATTTTTGTGGTGGCGGGGTTGGAAGGGGGCCGTTGGTAGTAATATTCTTTTTATTTATTTTTCTTCCCTTTGGTTCAGGCTGTTCAGAGGTAATGCGGGTGGTGCAGAGAATTTGTGATTGTTAGACCAATGTTAAGCTTAAACTGGGATGGAATGAAATAAAAAAGGGAATCAGAACTTCATATGAAGATCACCATATTATTGTGTGAACAAATAAGGGTTAATTGGAAAAACACGAAATTTGAGCCTATGATAAATGAACAAATATTAAACCAATTGGTTCAGATTTAAAGGTTTGCTTTAGTTTGGTAAGAGTTTTAAGTGTTCGATGAAATGACAAAATAAGCTTACATGGCCATTTCTAACGATAATGGCAAGAGAATCCATTAGGATTTGGAAGGAGAATAGGAAAGTGAGAGAGAAAAAATAGTGCAGCACACATAGTAACATTAATTAGAAACACTCAAATGCTGTACAACACACATAATAATATCTGATAATGCACAAAATTGAATTTATGCACCACCTATTGAGTAATTAATATAGGTAATAAATGTAGTAAATATAAAGGTAAGATCAACATAGATATAGAATAGTTTGGTCAAAGTGACTTACTCCACTTTAAAGATGGCAACGGCGGCCGCAAGACTTTATTGATAAATTAACAGGTGGGAGAGAGAGGAAGCAAAAATATGCTCAAAGGAGAGAGAGGGAGCAAAAGTATGCTCAAAGTGAGATAAGGTATTTCTGTGTGAGATGTAGTGGTATATCATTCATGTGTAGAGGGCTTACAATTTATAAACATAGAGCCTTAGTTGAGGCGGTAGCGTGAAAGAATAGATGACTAATCGTTTGGGNTGGGAGAGAGAGGAAGCAAAAATATGCTCAAAGGAGAGAGAGGGAGCAAAGGTAAGGTATTTCTGTGTGAGATGTAGTGGTATATCATTCATGTGTAGAGGGCTTACAATTTATAAACATAGAGCCTTAGTTGAGGCGGTAGCGTGAAAGAATAGATGACTAATCGTTTGGGAAGGATAGTTACAGTTAAAGATATGTACACTTAAAGATCTTTGAATAGTGGTTATCCCACTAATTACTCCCCACGTGTACTGATTTTCCTAGATTTCCTGAATTTTAGATTGAGCTGAATTTATGAGATGGACTTGACCTACTTTATAGCTGATTTGAACTTACTCNGGAGGATAGTTACAGTTAAAGATAGGTACACTTAAAGATCTTTGAATAGTGGTTATCCCAGTAATTACTCCCCACATGTACTGATTTTCCTAGATTTCTTGAATTTTAGATTGAGCTGAATTTATGAGATGGACTTGACCTACTTTATAGCTGATTTGAACTTACTCCATGAACTAGACCCACCCATCTAGGGTCGGGGCTCACCAATATCAATTGGTAACATCACATAATAATATCAATTGGTTTTAAATGTTCCTGTTTGTTAGTCTTGTTGGTCACCATTGTGTTGACATTGCTATTTATATCCTATTATGATCAATGTTATTATTTTTTATTTTAAATGTTACTTTTTTTGTCACTATTGTGTTCATATTACCGTTCCATGCTACTATAATGTTAAATGTTACTGTTTTGTTGTTTTAAATGTTACTATTTTTTTTGTTTTAAATGTTATTTTTTTTTGGCATCAGTGTCTACTGTGAAGAAAGAGAGAGTTTGGACATTTAAATNACTATTTTTTACTTTAAATGTTACTTTTTTTGTCACTATTGTGTTCATATTACCGTTCCATGCTACTATAATATTAAATGTTACTGTTTTGTTGTTTTAAATGTTACTATTTTTTTTTGTTTTAAATGTTATTTTTTTTTTGGCATCAGTGTCTACTGTGAAGAAAGAGAGAGTTTGGACATTTAAATCCAAATTACCCAAAAAGAAATGACTAACAGCATGCCCATCAGGTGGACCTTAAATAGGATTCTAGCAAAATGAGCAATGTTAGTTGGACCTAATTCATTGTAACTATTAGATTAGTTGTTAATTTTAATATTGGATGGACTAGTTATAATAAATTAAATCCCCAAATTAAGTCAAAATAACATTTTACTTAGCAAAATATCAACCAAACCGACCCCTCTCTGATCTCTCTCTCTCTTGCTTGCAGTTAGCCATAGCCAACCCTAAGTGGCAGGTTATTGAGAAGATAAGGCTATGCAACTTGGTGGACAAAGTTGGAGGGAGGGTCTTCTTGACAGTTGGAGAAGCCATGGATACATGCCTACCTACTGGGATGGCCTAATGTTTGCTACTCTTTCTGCAAACTTGCCTGCTTTCTTTGTGTGATTGGGTCCCAAACTACTTGTGTATGTATAACTTGAAGGCAAAATAAAGGAAGAGTAATGATTTGGAATGTTGTCCTTCCAAGGATGACCTGCAAGATGGAAAAAGATCTTTGAGTGTCAAAGAGATGTAATGTACAACTATATGTATCTTGTAATATATGTGTGTGTTGTCTAAGTTTCCATCATCGTGTATCAAAGATCTGTAATGTCCAACTATGTCTTGTTACTATTGTACTCTTATGTATGCATTGTGTAAGGATTTGCCTTTAAGATCTATTAAGTTGGCTTGTGGACTAGTTTATCCATTTCACAGTTCAAAGTATAAAACGAAACCAATATGACTCAATTGAGTCGAATTTAACTCAACACTTTTTAGTCTATCGATCCTCATTTTATATATATGACACCACAAGTCTAAAACAACTTGGTCAAATATTTAACCCCACATCATCTGAGTCATAGTCACTGAATCAGCTGATATTTTTCC